GATCCTTGCCTTGAGTAGGTTGACTCAGGTCTAGTTGACCCTATGAGTCGGGCGAGCTAGGGGGAATTGGGTTGTCATAGATGGTGTAAATTTCGACAACACCTCCCCTAGATTGGACTTTTGTGGAGGTGGATGGTGCGAACCTAGTTGGGCAGCATCAACTCCAGAGCTAGACAGATGCAGGTGGTGTGCCCTTAGTTGGGTAGCATCACCCCTAGACTTAGATGACAGTGTGGGATGAGCTACCGGTTGGACAACACTTCCCTTAAACTCTGGCATTTGTAGGTGATGCGACCTTAATTGGGTAACATCTACCCTAGACTTGGAAGATCAAGGGGGTTGAGCCACTAGTTGGGCTGCATGTCCACTAGCTTGAGAGGATGAAGGGGTTTGAGCCGTCGACTGGGCAGCATGTCCCCTAGAACTAGAGTTTTGTGGGAAATGAGTCCCTGATTGGGCAGCATCTCCCTTGGACCTAGAAGATGAAGGTGGGTTCAACCTTGGTTCCTTCGACTTGGGTCGAATAACTTGATGATTGAGGATGTCTCGGGCCATGCAGACCTGTTGGACTACATGGCTCGGTTGAATTACATACGTGCTACCTATGCTTAGCCCTGGGTGTGGGACAATGGATCTACTTGAACTCGATCTTGACTTACTTGAAACGGGGTAGGCCCAGGGAACTGAGCCATAAGTTCCTGTAGGTTCAGTCATCCTAAGGGGGGAATACGGCGATGGACTCAATATCGAAGTCACCACAGACTACAAACATGAATATGCAACACCAAAAGCAATCGAAATAGATTTGAAAGGCTCCTTATGACCAAATATCACTATGGGTAAGTTAGGCCAAATTGTATTCCGAGCTAAACAAGTGCTGAAATGAGTTAGGCTTATATGGGTGCCCACGTAAGGTTTGGTTACAATGATTGCGAGAGGCCGGTCCTTACTTAAAAGTGGGTTTACATACGTGGTCGAGTTTCCTCAGAGAGGTGCATTGCTTCATCGCTGGATCACCCCAATGCCCTACACATGAAGCTAGGCTCCCACACAACTCCTAGCTGGTGTACGATTTTTCAAAAACTTTGAAGATTTTGGTATGTTTGATGCTTGTGTAAAAGCAACACTCAGTGGTAATATTTTTGAAATTTTTTTGGAAGAGAAGATAAAGATAATTGGAAGAGATAGGGATGGTCTAAAAAAGATAAGGATAAATATTAAGAGATAAAGATGAATCTAAAAAGATAAATACGTTCTAAAAGAGATGGACATGAATCTACAAAGATAAATATGCTCTAAAAAGATGGAGATGAATCTAAAAGGATAAATATGCTATATAGAAATAGAGATGAATCTAAAGAGATAAACGACAATCTAAAAAGATATATATGAATCTAAAAGTATGCTCTAAAGAGATACAGATGAATCTAAAGAGATAAATATACTCTACAAGATATACAGATGGATCTAAAAGATATAGATAGATCTAAAAAGATAAACACAATCTAAAAAAGGATGGAGATGAAGCTAAAGGGATAAAAATGGTCTAAAAAGATAGTGATGAATCTAAAAATATAAACACGATCTAAAAAGGTTGAGATGAATCTATAAAGATAAACACAATCTAAAAAAATAGAGATGAATCTAAAAAGATAAACATGGTCTAAAAAGATAGAGATGATGGTTTTGAAAGATAGGATTAGAAAAAAAAAAAAACCCTAATTTTGTAGATAAGATTTTTCAAAAGGAGGGAACAAAATCTAGCAAGATAAAGTGGAAGAAGAGGCATTCTAAAGAAACAAATATATTTTTGGCTATTTTTCAATTTTTTTGGAATTTATAGAAAGAAAAAGCGAGAAGCGTCAAAAGTCACCAGAAGTGGGGTGATGATTGCGAGAATTTTTTCTAGGCAATCCGTATGGCCCAACATGCAAGATGTGGGGGTGCCTGATAGGCAGCGTGTTAGGGAACTTTGTTTGGCACGTAGTGTGTTAGACAGACCGACACACAGCATGGCGGGCAGCCACGTTGGCCACAGATGAAAATACTGGGGTCCTGAGGTGCTTTTTCGGTGTTTTTGGACCTTTCTAGTCCTTTTTTACTTTTTGTTTTTATGAAAATAGTAATTGAAAAATTTTGAAAAGTGTTTTTAATGCAGATTATACACATATTAGAAGCTTAATGGCCCCACATTGGGTGCCAAACTGTTTACGCTCCGATCTGTGCCAATATCTGGGATGAAATCTGCTCAAATCTTAGAAAATTTTAGTTAAATTTAAAAAGATAGAGAAAGTAAGATCGCTCGATTTATAGGCCCAAGAATAGCACATATCTACTCAGCTATGATTCTTTCTCGGGTCCGCTGATAGTGTCAACTTTTAGATCTGTGTACTTTTCTTTAAAAACTCTTTTTAACTTTAGAAACCAAGAAATAACAGAGAATACATAAAATAAAATATTAAAATTAGCTAAATTAAATAAAGAAAGGGTCATTATCTTTGAGAAACCAAAACTCAAAGTTTCCGGCTTGGATCAGATCGCTCTTCTAATATGTGCCACCATCTCCTTTTTGTATTCTTATACTTGCTGGAATTGGTAGATCTAAGGTATTTTGACCTAAATCTAGGGTTTCTAGGCCAAGGGAAAAGCTTGAGAATTTTAGGTAGAGTCTACTTAGGTTTTTCTGAAGATTTAAGAGGGATTTTCTTTAGTTTTCTAAGGTTTTTAGGAGCTTGTAGGATTAATCTGAATTTTGAGATTTTTTTGGATTTTATCTATTTTTTTAGGAATTTCTAGGGCTTCTTCCTAATTTAGGATATTTTTGGTTAATTTTCTTAATTTCGGGAATTGTGTCCTATTTTCTTATGATTTTTAAGGGATTTTTAATGTGTTTAGAAGGGAGTTTTTATAGGCTTCAATTGGTGATTTTTCTTATTTTTTTTGGATTTTTTCGAATTTATCTTGACCATTTAGCTTTATCTAATTTAAAAAATGCATTTTAATGCATCATCGGGCTGGTCTGGGCCCGTCATGGGCTTTGGTGACCGCATGATATGCGAAGCATTGGGCGGACCTGCCTGACACGCTCCATGTCGCGCGACTCACCCCGTGCCCATTAAGCAGGGACTAAAATGTTATTTTTTTGAACTTTCTAACCTTAAGTCCGATTCAAATGATTCTTAGACAATTGGAAAGCTCTTAGGGACTGCTTCGACTTGGGATAGGTGTTGGGTAAGTTTGAGACAATTATTTTCGGTCTAGGTTACTTATGATCTACTAGGGTTTTGTGGTCCTTTGGACTCAGAATCGAGATTTTTAAGAATTCACTTAGTCATAATTTGGAAGGGGGTGTCTACAGATGGGCTCGGGCGGGCTTCTAATGGTTAACGCCAAGCTAGGGCCAAGTCTTTCTTGCCCCATGCTAATATGCTTTCAGCCCTTAGCACAATATAGATCTTGTAGATTACTTAAAAATGCTAAGAAGATTTTTTTCGAGTGAGAAGTGAGCAGAGAGACAGAGGCTAAAGGGCAGTCAGTTTAAAGGGTACAAGAACTTCTAAATTTCAGACTTTAGTGGATTAAGATTTAGGTCCAAATGATTTTGATACGCATCTTAAAAGTGATAAAAATGGTTTGCGAGAGAATAATTGAAAAATGAGAGTAAGCGGCAAAAGAGTGGCTTAAAAAGGTAAGAAGGAACCCTAAATAACTTGAATTCTTGATTTCAATGTTAAAAAAAAATGATCCAAATTGGAATTGACCAATTCAAACTAAGTATATGTAGTACTGGTCCAGTTCCCAATTAAAACTGAGAATTGGCTGATTCCACATAGAATTGGCCAATTCTATAATAGAACTCACCATTTTTGTCAGTTTTTTTTGTTTGTTTTTTATTTTTTATATATATTTATTATTAATCAATTTTCTCAACTGGGTTGCTTATTTGAATATGTGATTCTTCAATGTCAACTAAATTTTGTTTTTTTTTAGGTAATTCAGTGGGGATGATGAGCCCTTACTTGTTTTCTAAATCATTAGCGGTTTTTGAAGGCGTTAGGTGAGAATGGAAGCCTAGACCTTAGTTGGGACACAAGTAGTGCTACCACCACGACCCCAACCCCATTCTCAATTTGGACTAATTTCGCTAGTGAAGTCCACCGAACCTTGTTTTTCCAAGAACTGCTAGATTGCTTTAAAGAGAAGGAGCCAGCAGTTCAAGTCGAGGAGGCGACTTTTTAAAATTGGGAAAATGACCTCTAACCCCTCCCCAAAAATTACATCTCTATTAACCCCTTGGGTTCACCAAAATCCCTTATACCCCCTCAAGTTTAAAATTTTAGGACCTTTGGCCCCCTAATTATGTTTTCCTTTGTTTTTTTACAAATTTGATATTTTTATTATATAAAATGCCAAACCATTCCATTAGTCAACTTCCTTTCCTTTCTGATCCGTTGCCTAAAACCAATCTTACCTCTGTAAACCCCACTATATAAATTTAGATATGAAAAGAAAATGAATTTTTTTTTAATATTATGCTTTTACAATTGCATTAGTATCTTTTGAACTTAGAAAATGATTAATCAAGATCTTTATTAGTATTGTTAATAGATTATTATTATTTATTGATTTATTTAATTAAAGAAATTTCTCAAAATACCTATAAGAGATTAAGTATTAAATAATTAATATATTGTTGTTGTTATTATTTTAATTATCATTAATTATAATTGTTATTATTATCATCATCATCATGATCAATAAAATTGGTATAGTGTCAAAAAAAAAAAAGAAAAAGAAAAAGAAAAGGAAAAAGAAAAAGAAAGGTGGCGGATGGCTATGGGTCTGGCATTTTGTGATCAAATGGGAAAACCCGAAGGGTACCCGGGATTTTCGTAAATGTCAAAGGGCTAATTGCGATGGAAATTTGGGGAAGGGGGCTAAAGGTCATTTACCTAAAAATCAAAACACCGGGTTGCTGCTGTTGCGTGCCACGCAACACTTCCCGCCCCATTTTATATGAGAGCGAGAGAGACCGGAGAAAAGCCCACAAGGAAGAGAAATGATGAGTTCTGGAACTGGTGGTTCATCCAAGAGAAGTAAAACCAAGTCCTGCAACTCTGGTTCAGCCCCGAAATGCAAGAGAAACAGGGAACAAAAAGCCCTAGGTGTGGCTTGGGGCGCCAATTCCTTCTCTGCCTTCTCCTTCTCCTCCACCAAGAAGCGGAGGAATGCACCTTTCTCTGACTTTGCCTCTTACATGGAGTCCAAAGAGCGCAAGCTCCGTGTTCAGTTCGATGCTGATGCATCTAATTCATCCAACAGGTATTCCTCACCGTACCAGAAAAAGGGCAAAATCTTCTTCTTTTTTCATCTTAATTGCTATGAATTCTGTAATGGTGATCCATCTTTTGTCACAGAGATTCCGATGTAAACAAATGTATTTTTCATGGAATTTCAATCTTCGTGGATGGGTTCACAATTCCTTCCAGTCAGGTAAGTGGGCTCTTTCTTTCTTCTTTCAACATTGGTAATCCATCAATTCACTAAAATAAACTTCGACCATTTTGAAATTTTAAATGGAAAACCAGGAGCTTAGGGGTTTTATGTTGAAACATGGGGGCCGCTTTGAGAATTACTTCTCTAGACATCGTGTCACGCACATCATTTGTAACAACCTGCCGGATAGTAAACTAAAGAATCTCAGGTATTTCCGTGTCTGTTTTCACCTATGTGAGTTTTTTTTGGTTTTCTTTTTTTATTTCTTGGAGAATAAGATGTATGTTTCGTAAAATTTTTTTGCAGGGCGTTCAGCAGGGGCCTCCCAATTGTGAAGCCTGCATGGCTGCTGGACTGCATTGCTGCTAATGAACTTTTGAATTGTGAGTTTGATTTATCAAGTTCATTTATCATTCAGTTTTGCTATTTAACTTTTTTGCTTGCTATTGCTTTTTGTTATGCCAAAGATTAAATTAGAAATCAATCTGAAAGTTAAAAGTTTGTATCTTGATCGTGAAATTAATATAGAGAACTTGAAGATGCTTAAAGATTAAATTATAAACTCAACCTGAGACTCATAAGTTTGTATCTTGATTGTAAAACTAATATAGAAAGCCTGACGATTCTTGGGAAGGTTGACAACAATGTTTCAAAAAGCACTAAGCGGCACGTAGGCGGCCGCTTAGGCGGGCGCCCAGAACCTGGGTGGCCCAGTTGAAAACAAAAAACTGATGATCGATAATGATTAATCCATAAGAATTTTGATAATCCATAAGACCATAATCCATAAGAATTTTGATAATCCATAAGACCATAATCCTAGTTAAAAAAAAGAAGATGGAAGTCCAGAAGAGAATTTTGATAATCCATAAGACCATAATCCATATTTTCATACAATGCTAAAACAATAAACCATACAACCATACACTGATAGTCCGGTACATTGTAGACTGTACACACAAAAGTTAGATAGTAGAACTATAAACTAGAAACTAAAAATAAGAAAAAGAAAATATACAGAAATTTAGATATACTGTCTAGGACGTAATAGTCATCACTCAACACAACAGTCAACACTCAACACCAAGAGTCTTCAATCATCATCATTATCATTGTCATCAGAAGGAATATGGTAAGCTTCACCATATGCATTAGATTCGAGGACATCATCATCGGAGTCATCTCCCTCTTTAATATAACGCTCATTCTCCTTTGTTTCTTTTGAATCTGCTTCTTCCTCCTCCTCTTCTTCTACCTCCTTCTTACTAGTATGTGCAGATAAGGCCCTAGGAGTCTTGGCTGCTCTACCCTTTTCTATCATTTTGTGCTTCTCTAAACTCAAATATTGTATAATAGCCTTAGGAATATTTTTACATGGGACAACATCCCCCTTAATACCGACAAGGTGTTTTTTAAACCAGTAAATGCCCCCATTAGTATCCTTTCCACAATAGTTATATTTAATAAGATTTTTTTCATTCGGATTTAGGTTATAACCATACTTCCAATCCGGATTACTACTTCTAGAAGAACCTGGAGAAGATATTTTCATAGAACAAGGGTTATTTTCATCATTTTCTGGTTCTTTTAAATTCAGAAGTTGTCTAATCTCATCTCGAATAGCTTCAGGAACCTTTTTACAAGAAGCAAGATTCCATTTAATACCAGCAAGGTGTTTCTTGAATCGGTTAATAACCCCATTGGTATATTTTTCACAAAAATTACACCTTATACAATGTTTATCGCTTGGTTTTGGGTTATAACTTTTGGGTTCCAACCAGGATCACTTCTTCTAGAAGTAACAGAAATAGATCTATTCAAATGACAAGGATTTTATTCCTGTTTTTGTTTTACAGAACTCATATATTGCTTAGTCTCCTCTTTGGTAGCTTTATGAACATTTTTACAAGGGCCAACATCCCCTTTAATACCGACAAGATGTTTCTTAAACAGGTTTATGCCCCTTTTGTGTATTTTTTCACAAAATTGGATTCGGGTTATATCCATATTTCCAACCGGGACCTCCACTTCAACTAGATCTTGAAGAAGACATCTCAAAATAAAACAAGCAATCTAAAAAGTAAAGTTTTACACTTAATTTGATTGCTTGAACTCCAAACTCCCACCTCTGAGATGTTTTCTGATGCTAAAATAATAAAAAAACACCATCTAATAGGATTATAAAACTCTAAAACTAAGTCAAATCTATCTGGGTGATGTTTGAATCCGTTTTTCGTGACTTTGAGAAGCACTTCGACCCAATGAAAGTCACAAAATTTAATATTATTGAGGTTTCTTTCTCTCTAAAATGGGTTATTGTGGGTTTAGGTTTCAAATGAACCTAAAACCCATTCTTAAAACCCTTAATGTTTCATAAAAAATCAATACAATGAAAAAAAATAAAAATTTCTGCCCCTAGGCGGGGCACATGCCCTGGGTGCCCGCCTAGGCGGCCACCCAGGGACTGCCGCCCAGTTTGGCCGCCTAGACCTGGGCGATGCGCTCAGGCCTTCTGAACGGCCTAGGCAGCCGGTGGTCCGCTTTTTTGAACAATGGTTGACAGGGCTTTATTCCTTTCATCATACAAAGATAAAGAAAGCCTTGAAAGGAAAGCCCCATTTTCCTTCTAGTATAAAGATCCTCAGATGGCAGTGTAGTTGTAGATAAATGCAACCACATAAGTATCTAATTCCTTTCCATTGTGGAATCAGAGGGTTGGCTTTGAATAGTCTTATTTTTATTTATTTTTACTCAAACAAACCAATTATATCCTAACCTACAAAATTTAGATAAAAATATATCCTTAATATAGTACATGGCCTGTTTATTATGATATTGTCAAGTCCTAAATTCATGGGAGCATGTGGATAGAAACTAGAATAACATACAACTCTAATTGTGATCACTGAGACTTAGACAATGGTCATACACACATTGACGGAGCTTCTAATGGCTTAAGCTTCATTTGGGATTGGTTATTCTGATGAATGCTTTTTTGACTTTCTGCACTGTGCCAAACACCTTGGCTTTTCCTAGTGCAGGAAGGGGACCCTCCCTTTTTGCAATTAATGTTAAACACTACTTATTTGGCGATGTACATATATTAGGATGCCATTCTGGACTCCCAAACTCTGGAGCATTGACTACTTATCAAAATGAGGCGTTATGCCCCATAATGCATTTTAAAAGTGTTTAAACAAACTGTTACATGCTTGTGAATGCATGTCTCCATGAATTAGATAGGGGATTATAGAATATGGTAACTAAAGAGGATGAGGATTATGCAAGTCAATTTAGTGACCGAGTGTGAGAAGGCATTTAATGTTTGCAAGTGAATTTAGTGACTGATTGTGAGAAGGAATTTAGTGCTAAAGTATGAAACAAGGCTTTTACTTTTCCATTCTATTAGCAATCCATGGCTGATGCAGATAAAAAATAGGGAAAAATTCAAAATTGTAATTTTATTAGTTTTTTGAGTGTTTTAGGAAGTGTGCTTAGATAAGGTAGTGCGTGAGTTTCAATATGATTTTGTGCGTGACTTGTTTTGGGAATATTGGACAAAGGGATTTAGGTCTCCTATTTTGATGGATTTAGGAGATTTACTTAGATATTTAAGGATATGTAGATAGAGATTGAGGGTTTTAGGTAGGATAAAGTCAATCTTGAAAGAGAGATAAATAAGGGGAGTTAAAAGTTGTTAGGATATTACAGAGACACGTGAGGAAAGAGAGAAAATACGGAGATGGAGAGAGAGAAAATAGGGAGGGAGAGGAAAATGTGGAAGAGAGAGAGTTATTGTGGGTTATTTATTTATTCCCTAAAGTCTATTTAAAAGGAATAAATCTTTATTGTAATGATCAGAGATTGAAATTTAGTAAACTTTGGTCTTGTAAAAAGATTGTTTTTGGGGTGGATTCCCTTGCAGACCTTGGGGTGGATTATCTTGCAGACCTTGATATGCGGGTGGATTCCCTTACGGACCTTGAGAGAGGGTAAATTCTCTCACATTTGTTATTATTTTTACTTTAATTATTTTTGTCCCTGCATCAATTGGTATTTGAGCCCTAAGATCCTTGATCTAGTTATGGAGAGCTTCGATCAAAGATTTGATAGAATCAAAGAAGACCTAGTAGAGAGTATTAGCAAAATAGTAAAAAAATCTTTACGAGATGTATTTCATTGATTGCAATCGGAACCAGAGGAACAAGAATATGAAGAAGTAGATCTCGATACAAAAGGCGATGCCGATAACCCAAATGTGCAAGAAATTTCGAATATCAATTGTGAAGAAAAAGAAGAAATTTTGAAAATCAAATATAAAGAAGAGGATATGTGTGATGCAGTATTTAAAATCCAACCCTGTGAGTGTGAAGGAGAAATCAAGATTGAGCCCAAAATTACTGTGTTCTATTTCGAGATAAGTATGAAGCATTCGATGAATCGACTTAATGAAGAAATTGAAGAAAAAGTGTTGAGGTGCATGGTGGGATTACATCACCAGTTAGTAGAGGGTGATTGGCTTGCAGCTCGAGGTCGTGCTTCTCCCACCTGGGGAGAGTGATGCAGATAAAAATCAGAGAAAAATTCAAAATTGTAATTTTATTATTTTTTTGAGTTTTTTAGGAAGTGCGCTCTTAGATAAGGTTGGGCGTGAGTTTCAATACGATTTTGTGCGTGACTTGTTTTGGGAATATTGGGCAAAGGGATTTAGGTCTCCTATTTTGATGGATTTGGGAGATTTACTTAGATATTTAAGGAGATATAGATAGAGATTGAGAGTTTTACGTAGGATAAAGTCAATCTTGAAAGAGAGATAAATAAGGGGAGTTCAAAGTTGTTAGGAGATTAGAGACATGTGAGGAAAGAGAGAAAATAGGGAGATGAAGAGAGAGAAAATAGGGAGGGAGAGGAAAACGTGGAAGAGAGAGTTATTGTGGGTTTTTTTTACTTTATTTTTTCCCTAAAGTCTATTTAAAGGGAAGAAATCTTTATTGTAAAGATCAGAGATTGAAATTGAGTAAAATTTGGCTTTGTAAAAAGATCGTTTTTGGGGTGGATTCCCCTGCAGACCTTGAGAAAGGGTATATTCTCTTAGTGGGGGTGGATTCCCTTGCGGACCTTGAGATAGGGTAAATTCTCTCACTTTTGTTATTGTTTTTACTTTAATTATCTTTCTCCCTGCATCAATGAGTTATTTAGCTTTTCTAGTTAAGTCACTACATGCCTTGTCAGCTTTAGGTTATTCCATGGTTTTTGTATTTTTGCTGATTTGGTTGTCTGAGATTTGTACTTCAATTTTAAATTTTCTGGTGATTTGTTGATCATTGTTAGAATATCAGCATTTGAGTGACCTTTGTGTGCATTTGTCAATTTGTTATTAACAATAGAAGAACATATATGAGCACAATAGGGTCTTGAATTGTAAATGGAGCATTTGTGGAGATTTTGAATCAGTGATCTGCTTCACTAGACATAGTTCATATTGTATTAAACGGCTCAAAGTTCCTTTGATGGCTAGTGTATAATACACATGTTTTGCCATTTGTTTTAGTAATTCTCTATATATATTCCTGGAAAATGCTTATCGAAGTGATTGTACTTGCGTTGTATTCAATTAACATGTTTGTACGGGGATCCCTATCGTTTTACCAATGACCCATTTTATAAATGCTTTATACCCGGCATCAGTCACATGAAGAAAACCATATTGTGAAAGCTCCAATATGCTTGCAAAACTGTCCAACACAATGAGTAAACCAAAATTTACTTTTGTTAGGGGATCGAAATTGTTCAACATTGATTTGCTTACTTAAAATTGCAAGGATGTGAAAAAAGCTTTGATTTCCATTTCTAATGTTGTATCTAGGTGGGGTGTGGTGCCCCCTTAAGGCAAGAGAAAGAAAGGAGAAAGGGTAGAGAGAGAGATATTGGTGTGGAAGCTTAGAGAGAGAGAGAGAGAGAGAGAGAGAGAGAGAGAGAGAGGTCACACAATGTGGGTTTCCCACATAATGAATATATTTATAATGGTGTCCACGAATCAGGTTTGCCATTTTATTGAGACTCAATTTGGATTGTTGATCTAAGGTAACTTGTGGGGTGAAGAGAGGCTTTCTCTCAATTCCCTAAATCAGCCATCATGATTAAGGTAAGGCTCTTAGATGCATTATCCCTTAGTTTCCTTGAGCCATCCACTTTTAATTTAGGAATCGTAAGCGATATGTTTTTCATTCCAAAAATTTGAAAGTTATGGAACCATTTTATAAACTTTCTCATGCTTCCTTTCTTCATTCCCCCACAATATGTCTTAAGCAAAATTTACATAATACTTCTAGAAAACTTGTAGAAAAGAAAAAAAAAGGTTGGAGGGTCGGCTAGAAAAGCCTTGTGGGCCCACGCCTCAAGTTAAGTCCCCCCACCTCCCTCCCTCCCCTATATGTGGGCCCTTGGCCAACAGTTTTAGAGTTCCAAACTCTATTTTCTAAAAGACCATCTAATATTTTTAAAATGAGTAATGATCCTATGAGACCCTCCCACACCCATGTGTGTAGGACCCTAAAGGTTCACCATTAAATTTGGCATAGATCTCTAGAAAAGTTATCACATGGGTGTGAGATTTGACTTTTCTAGAGATCTGTGCCAAATTTAATGGTGATCTTTTGGGTCCTACATACATGGGTGTGGGAGGGTCTCATAGGATCATTACTCTTTTAAAATAGCTTTGTGTTTTTAAAAGCTGAAAATTCCTTTTATAATTTCTGCAAAAATTCTTTTTTGCAAAAATAAAATATACTCAGCACCTTAAAAATTCATTTTAGAGTTCTATAAATCTTATAAAACATAATTAGGCACAATTAAAAGAGAATTAAATCCATTAGGTTACAAATATGCGAAATAATTAAGGGCACTACATTTGTGCCAGTTCTTGTGGTCCACAATTCTTCCTCTCAAACCAACCCAACAGAACTTGTGACCAACATTCTATTGCAGGGACTTATGCTTGGTCCATCAAAGCTGGCCAATAAATGACAGGATACGAGCCTAGTATATGGATTTCAGGTTCCCACCCCCCCCCCCCCCCAAGGACCATTTATATTCCGCTTGGACATGTGTAATTGTCATAATGGTGCAGGGGCCCTCTCTTCAACACATGAACATGTCTCACCCCAACAAGCTGCATCTAGTAGACACGACTATTATGTACATGCTGTACGGTTATTTGTTGATGATTTGGCACTGGCTCTTATAAGCAACCAATTACACACAGGAGGTTGGCATCATCTCTTCGACCTCAACAAGGGCTAACTCTGCAAACCCTCCTTGGTTGTGCCTTATGCCTAGGGCAGAAGGGTTTTGAGACTCCATTCTCGGGCCTAGATGGTCTGACCCAAGTGAGTTAAACGAGCACCATAAAGCATGCCTTTTTGGTCCCACATGGATCACACTCCTATTGGAGTACAATATCACTATATAGTCATAGTTTTTACATGCTCTTATGGCCTGTAAAAGCCATACACCCTAACATATAATTGAAAAATAGTGAAAGTGATCATTTGCAATGTGCCGGGACAATCAAAATGGTTGTTCTCAACTATTCAGCTATAGTCTGGAGGCCCATGTGCTTTTAGGGATTGGATTGTCTATTTTATATGCATATAAAAATAGATACTTGATCTTCTTGGATTTCCAACTTCAAATCTTGTTCTTCAATATTCGTTTTTCTTTGTTTCCCCATGATGATTAAATCTTCATTTAATATCTCAAATGCTAACCAATTCATGAAAGCTATTAGAATGCTTGTTGGATTCTTGAATTTATATTATCTCATCATGGTGTGGTTGATTCTATGATTCTTTCTTTGTGCCAGGGGTCCCCTACCAACTTGTTCAACTGGGCAAGGACATTCCTAAGCAACAGAAATTGCCTACATATTTCTCTCCTAAGAGTGTCTCAACATCAAAGTCTTTTGAAACTCCTACAAAATCTCATCTGAAAATTTACACTGATGGAATGTCTACAAGCAGTGAAGGATCTATAGATAAGGATAGTGATTCATTAACTGGTGGGTCCAACCATGAAAAAGTTAATGATGGTTGTTTAGATAATAAAAAGAAAAGAGAGCCCCTTGTACTAACAGCTGAAGATGCTGAGAAATCTAGATGGTCACATGTTAAGGGTTCAATGTTAGTTGCAAATATACTTGAAGCGACTTCAACAGTTGAAGAAGCGGATCAATCTGAATGTTCACATGTTAAGGGTTCAACTTTGGACGCAAATAAATTTGAAGGGACTGCTGATGTGCTCATTGAAGACTCTATTCATGAGCCTGCAAAAATCTACGATGCTAGAAATACAGAAGTAAATTCCAGCAATCTGGAAGATACATGCAGTGAAAAGGTGGTCTCCGAATCCAGTTCTCATACAAAATCAATTACTGGTGGTAACATCTGTTCTGATAGTAAGAAGATGAAAGATCACAACTCCACAAGATTTTCTGGTCAATGGAATTCAACTCTTCGAGATGTGAATTTTGTTGAAAACTATTTTAAGGTAATAAACGATAACTTGTGTCCTGTCTTTAAATCTTGGTCTTCATTTTGTCTAAGGTACATGAATACACGGCTATTTTTTGTTTTTTTTTTAAATTCCTGAGCTAAAGGAGTGCAAGGGGAGTTGTCTTGCTGATAACAATTCTAAGTTTGGTTGCTCAATCTTTTGTTTAGGAAAGGCAAAGTTATTTGACTTGAATTTTGTACAATGAATGCAATTATTTGCAATGGTAAAACCATTGCTTTGATTTTTCTAAATACTTCGTTTTGAGATGAAGCTTGGTTATGAATAAGATATGCAATTCTGTACATCCCACTTTAGATAATTTTTGTTTTCTAAGCAGGATGGACTTTGATTTTGTAAATAATAGTTTTTCCTTGGGTATCTAATGAATCAGCTAATTTCTAGTCCTGGTTTTTTTCACGGTACCTCTTGTTGTAGGCAAGGAAATTGGGCTCATTCTATGTGAATTATTATTTGCCACATGTGATATGTTGCTGATCCAATGATAGGGCTTTGTTGAAGCTACAAGGTTGTTGGTACAGGGTATCTCAGTAGTGAGCTTAGATACCTGAGATAAGGAGATATGAGCTATATTGAGTATTGTACATGGGAAAGGCTTAACAGAGAAACCTCATAGAGTGCAAAGGAGAGGTTTAGAACAGGGACCTAAAACTTAGAGATACCTCAAAACATTTGATGGGAGCTGTAAGTTTTAGGGAGGCAGTGTTTTTGCTGGGGGGAAGATGTCATTGGCTAGTGCTGGACTGAAAGTGTTCCATTTTAGAAGATTACTTTTATCTTTAGCAGTAGAAAGGACATTTTACATGCCTGCCTAGTCAGCAAGTTCCACTTGTTGGTCTTGTCAGAGAGTTGAATTAAGAAATAAGATTCAAAGGCTTGGGAAGAAGTAATTGCTTTGATGTTTCATCTACCCCTAGGAAGAGGCAGATAGGGTTCTGACGAAGGGACCTGAGAGGATGGGGAATTATTACTGTTCTTTGAGATGTTGTTGCCTTGTTTTGGGTTCAATGGTCATATTCTTAAGTGTAGATGGTGGATTAGAATATCTGGATTCCCATTCACGTGGACGTGTTTGATACATTTTGTGATTGGAGACCTAGTTAAAGGTTTTTTGAGTGGGATATTTTCCCGAACTGGATGCTATTCGTACCTCATGTTTTTAATATTCCAACCTAAACCTTCGTTTGGAATTTCAAAATAAAGTTTCATGAGTATATCCACCCATGACATGGTTGCTGATGGCAAAAATGCAGGTGCTAATAGCAATCCCCTTCCTAAAAAAGTATTAAAAAAATATAAAGACTGAAAAAAGCCACAAGACAAATTTTGTGATTTCAGATGTTTCTGTGGGTAAATTACTCGAGTCTATCACAGATTTGGATATTGGTGCATATTAATTTGAACTTTAGAAATTGGTTGTAGATGAGTTATGTGGGATGCTTGTCTTGGAAACTTGGAAATGTCGGATTAAAATGCTAGGTTTTATTTGATATCCTCCTGGTATTACATTTTGGGGAAATCATGTTTTTCACTCTGTTTGCGTTTTTTTTTTTTTAAATGTAAATTTTTATGGGTTTCGTAGAAATGTAAGTGGATACCTGGGCAGTGGTACCATGGGAATTTTGGCATCAGTTGCCTGCATGAGCTTCCAGTTCTTGCTTAGGCATTTAGGCTACTCTACTGAAGTTCAGCTGGGCGCTTGGCATCAAGGCAGTGACCAGGGGCATGCATGGCATGCTTTTTATCATCTTGGGGAAAGGACGAGGTGGACTCAATTTCAAGAGTCATGGCAAATACTATGGTAAAGTTGCAAGTTTCAAAAATATGGAGAAGGTTTTTGGCGTTAAGTGCTAGGCATGAAGCATGTTTTTCATTTATTTTTGGGGCCAGGGATTGGGGTTTGGGTTTGTGAGCAGCTATAGCAGTGCTTTTCTGTTATTGTGAATTTGTGAGTCAATTTTTCTTTTTAACTATTGATCGTAGTGACTAGTCTGATCTTTGTTGCTTTGTTCTGAATGTGTAGGTGTTCGAGAGAAAATGGCAAGAGCCAGAACCTAGGGTATAGCAATGCTGAAGATCTGACTTTTATCTGCAGTTGTTTTATCCTGCACGTTCCAATTCTAGTACACAATTCCAGAAATAGCCTTTCTCAATATTTCTAGGATTCAAACATTCTTTTAAGAGATTTCCTCTTTCTTTAAAGAGGAATCCTGGTTTAGACGACTACTGCCACTTCCTTTAAATCTTGGAAGGTTTTTGAAGAAATCTTGGAAAAACAAGTTCTTTGAGAGAAACAAGAATTCTTAAATGGAATAGCATTCTTATCCAGCTAGAATGGATTCAGACATATTCTTGGACATCCCTCTCCATTTTCTAAATGAGTTCAATGTTCTTCCTTCCAAATCAAAAGGAGGGAATGTCCCACTTCAATTAGCTACTGAATAAAATCTGGGGATATCTTGGAAACCAAGATATCAAATGTATGGGTGTTTTATTTTTATTAAAATCTCCACTCACAGGTGAATCCATCGTCGTTGGGGTTTATGTGACCCTCTCAAATTCACTTGGCATTCACATGGGACCCATGTCTTGTGGGTTAACATGATCCTCTATTTGATTCATGTGCCACGTGGCAAGCTCACTTGCATCCATTCTTCACCAAATCTCATATTTGATTTCTGTTCTATCTTTTCCAGAAAATAAATGTTTAATTCCAAATCAGTCCCTGGAAATAACAAAAAAATAATAGCAAAAATTCCTCTCTTTTAAGAACATAGAAAAATGCAAGTTTTCTATAATGGGTATTAAAAAATAAAATATTAGGTAAAGCTCGAAAGAATGGGCACGGTATGGGATAACACAAACTTATAACTGGCTACTCCATAGTTAACTCTGTAATCATACACTAACCCTTAAAGCAACCCAACATTCCCATGACCAACAAGTCTCTCCACAGCGGCTCATGATTGGCCTATCAAATATCAAAGACAGCCAAGGTTTAGATGAATTACAAAGTTGTCATGGATTATAGGTGTGCAAAGGGCGACTCATGTCACGAATACAGGAACATCATATAGGTATGGGGGTCCTCTCTAAGCACATGCACACGCGGACCTCATTGGTCCTAACACAAAAAGATGTGGGTATCATTCATGAATGCTGTGCAGAGGTGTGTCGAGGAATTGGCCCTTACCTCACAGGCCTCTATCCCTTATACAAGGGTATACATTTCCCCTGTCTCAACAACCACTGGGCTATCTCCAACCTTGAGAAGGGATGACCTGTAAACGTTCCTTGGTGATAGCATCAAGCACTGCTTCTCTATCTGGCTTAGGGCCTATGTTTCTGATTCAATCCGTGAACCAAGGCTAGAGTCAAGGCACTGTGGTTCACTGCTCTAATGGCCTCCTTCATCCATAGACTCTGATCTTATGGCTTCTTTCATCCATAGAGCCCTGTGCTTATGGATTCTTTCATCCATAGAGCCCTGTTCGTATGGCCTCTTTTACCCACAGAGGCCATTTGCCCGATATGGACCAATCTGGACTCCCATTCAAAGCCAGGGGCGTGTGCCTTTATTATAGATATATATATGTGTGCTCTACATGGAAAAGGAAGAGCTAGGACTTTTAAAGGCCATGACACCCATCAGGGTTGGGTTGGTTTTGGACAGATGGATAGGTTTTATGGGCTCTTTGGAGTTTGGAAAGAGATTAGTGATGTGAGTAGAGAGAATGAAATGTGTATTAGATTTAGGATTGTATATGGAAAAAGAGAAAAGAGTCACCGATTAGAATAAAGATTGCAAGAGTCACTTTTGGGAAATTTTTGCTTGTGAGGTTTGCTTGCTCATTAGCTATTTTTTGGTGCTTAGGATGGAACAAACTATTGCAAAAGTTTTGGTTTCAGATTGTTTGCTTGTTTGGGTGGTACATATGATTGTGGTGTCATAGATTCAAGAAGAGTTTCAGGAATAGTGAAGTTTATTTGTGTTTAGTGGTGACGTTACAGGAGGTCTTTCTATTTTGCCTTGGGGTTGACTGAAGGAACTAGCTTTGAGATAGTCTAGGGTTCTTTTAATTTAGTCATATTCTATTGCTTTGCTAGTTTGGGCTTTTATCACCCGGCGGCTTAATTTGGGAGATTTTTGTCTGCGCTTGAATTTTGGCTTTGGGTTGATTGCTGTCTTGGGAAAATATTATCAGTGAAGTCGGCTGCCTTTGACAACATGGGTTCTTGTCCTTTGCATTTGATATGCATCTTGGGATATCCATTGGCTAGTGACCTTCTTTGAAATTTTCTTAACTGCATCTCAAATAGACTTGCTGTGTCAGTTGATTATGAAGTGGCTCTATAAATATTATACCATATGTTCTCAACTTTGATTTTCACAGAATTCAAGGCTGCACTTCATAGGAACCTGGAGAAACCGGTACCGCAAACGTTTTCTTAACTTATTGCACGGAGATCATCATGGAAATTCTGCCGTTGATGCTCTCAATTGCACCCAGAGCCCTACTATTATCCATATTGACATGGTAATTATTTTGGAATTATTGAACTTTTGAAATATGTCTTTGTTGGTTTCCAATTTGCATCTTTTCTTGTTAATGTCTTTTCATTCCTCACGTTGGTCAACCTTGAATTCTTTTGTTAGCTATTAAGTATTACCTGTATGTATCATTCTCAAAATTTTGCTACATTGGCTTCAATTCAGTCATCTTTGAATGCTTACTGAAAATATATCATTCATTCCTCCAGGATTGTTTTTTTGTATCAGTTATTACAAGAAACCATCGTGATTTATGTGAGAGTCCAGCAGCTGTATGCCATTCAGATAATTTAAAAGGAACAGCAGAAATATCTTCTGCAAATTACCCGGCGCGCGATTATGGTTTGGCTTTCCCTTCCTTGTTGTTTGTTTGTTTGCCATTACTAGAATGTTGGATAGTTTGTAGATAATGATGTGTTTAGTGAATGTTACTCTGGCTTTCTGCTCATAGGAGTTAAAGCTGGTATGTTTGTTAGAGATGCCAAGGCTCTTTGTCCTCATCTTCAGATTTTTCCATATGATTTTGAATCTTATGAGGTGGTAAGTCATGTGCTAAGAATTTAGTCTTATAATTTTCGGGTATCCACAAAAGTGCAAATAATTTGAGCAAATGGCCATTGCAAAATTGCTTGGTTTACAATGTGATTCTGGCTTGCCTATTTGTTTCCCTCTCTTTTGTCATTGTGATTTACTTAAGAGAAAGCATACAAATAGACCATTTATTTTTAATACAAGGAATTCACAGTCACTTTTGTCCATCAGATTTCAAATCGAATGATTGTGAGTGTATCATTGACTAGACTCCAAGTTGAAATTTTTTTTTCTCAAACTTTGTGACATAACCCAAGCCAATCCAATTTGACATCTAATGGCTAGTACCAAATGTGACCTCCTGGTACTAAAAATAAATGGTCTCATAGTATACAATCCCTTTACTTAATCTATCAAGTTCAAAAATGGTTCTAATATGTCAAATTCCTATGTACGTTGCTTTTATACTTTTTAATGCAGGTTGCTGACCAGTTCTATGAGATTTTGCATAAGCATTGCAACAAAGTGCAGGTTTATTCTTATGGGTTCTTATTGTAGTCTACAGATATTTGACTCTTTTTATTTGGATTAGTTGTCTTTGATGGAATCGAAACTCTGACTGATACAGGCAGTTAGCTGCGATGAAGCATTTTTGGATGTTTCAGATCTGGCGCACAAAAATCCTGAGCACATTGCTTCCATTATCCGACAAGAAATATTTGACACCACAGGGTGTACAGCCAGTGCAGGAATTGCCGGAAATTTTCTCATGGCTCGATTGTCTACGAGGAAAGCTAAACCTAATGGTCAATATTTTATCTCTTCTGCCAAGGTGCTCTCATTGTGTTGATGTATCTTTTAGTCCATTGCAGTATTTATTCTAAGAGTGACTGCAAAGTTATGTGTGGAAATAACTGATCAAAATCTTTCACTTACGAGAATGCGTCTGTAGTACAGATATTATGGATAATGTATTTTTTTTGTTGAAAGGTTGAGAATCACTATCGACAATGTAGTATAGATAGTCTGGAATCACTATCTACAATCCTTGAAAACTTCCTTTGTAACTTGAATCCTTGAAAACTTCCTTTGGCAACTTCAGTCGAAATTTGATTACTTAAAACCAAGTCCACCTTCTCTTTCCCACTAGTCTTCGTAGCCCATATGGAATCCTCCACTCAGCTGATGTAGCCATGGACCTGAGCCATCCTTTTTCTGCAATATACTCTTTAATGTGAGGAAGTTAGTAAGATATCCAGTAATGGCATGCCTCACTATGTCCCTCTCCTGTGTATGCTTCCTCATAAGGTTGAGGACAAAGCTGTTGTAGATAAATTTTGTTATTTCCTTGGCCTTATCTACAACCTTTTCAACATGAGATATCTTCCCTATAACCTTTAGCATTAAATCTATACATTTGGCTGCACAAGATGCCCAAAATATTGTGGGATAATGTTCTTGCAGCAATTTGCCATGGTCATAGTTTAGTGCATTATCTATAATGGATTGTACCATATTTTGTGGCGCCATCTCGTCAAAAACCTCCTAAAATCCTCCCTAGTTTTATTTATCATGGAGGCATCCTCAAACTTCCAGAAAAAAAGTCCCTTTGTGTGATGCACAAAAAATTTAATTAAGTGCTTTTGTCCATTATCTTTACATCCATTAGCCATGATGAAGCACCCGCCCTTCGCTCTTTCACATCTCCCTGAATGAGTTTGTTTATGTGCTCACCTCATCCACATTCTTCTTAAGTAAAGTAGTCCTAGAATCATGATAGAGGAGCTTTTAGACCCTAGACGTATGGATGCCTTTTCATCCAATATAGGTTGGATATAGGAGGAATTGAGGGTATTAAAGGACATAAAGATTCAGTGCATCCTCTGGGATATAGACATGTCTTCCTTTTCTAATGCTTTCCCCCCAACTAACACACGTTTGATGGTTGGGTGGGCACCTTGTATTGTCTTGGATGGAAAATAGCTCTCTATCCCACTACTTGTGACAGTGCTCTTAGGCTTGCTAGACACTAACGTTGTGGAAGACACATACTCTTCCCAAGTCTCCCCCTAGCTTGAGGGGGGCGCTCTCATCTCCCCCCTCATCAATCTCATAAAGCTCCCTCATCCTGTCAAGGATAAGGGTTCCCTCCGTCTTGTCTCATTTGTTTCTCAACCACATGATGTTCAATGCTCTTTTGCATCTTGTCATTTGAGGGAACCTTTGGGAATTTTGCCATATTCAAATGCGCCTTAACCGGATGAATTCCACCTCCCTCTATTTGTTTACCACAATATATGCACATGTTTTCACATTTATCTCCGTTCATGACCCTATTTAGATGACCCCATGTTGGGTTTGATTTTCCCTTTTTTTGCATAATTTTTTTCAGTTTGTTTTTGTACTTTCATTTTCTTTTTTGCAATTTTGGTTTTGCCTAAATTAAAAAGAAAAAAACGAAGTCAAAAACTTTTGTTTTTGCTTTTTGCATTTGTGTTTATTAAAAAGACGTACCCCCTTTCTGTAATACAATCCCAAGTAAGCCCATAGGTTTATGGAAAGCCCATGGACCCTGCCTAGTTAAAAGAAAAGGATGTTTAATCCCTCTTTATTTTTTTCATTGTCCGAATTACAATATTTATCCTTTTTCATTTTTCTAAGGACCCCATCATCCATATCCTAGAATTGCTCCCCCATCTTTCTTTCTCTTCATTACTCATGAACCCTTTCTTTCTCTCTCTCTCTCTCAACTTCCCTTGAACCCTCATCTTTCTCATCTTGTAAACCTAACGAGTAGGTTAAGCGTAGCATCCCAAATTCCACTTGGCTGATGAGGTTATTAGAAAAAAGAAAGAGGATCAGTATTATAATTTAGACAATGAAAAATTTAAGGATTGGGTTAAATGCCATTATCTTTTAATTTGAACGGGGTTCGTGGGCTTTCTATGGACCCAAGGGTTTATTATGTCATTTTCTCTTAACTTGGATGGGGTTCATGGGCTTTCCATGGACCCAAGGGTATAGTGAGGGGATATACGCCTTTTTCCTTGCTTTATTTTTAAGGACTTTTAAAAAGCCCTTAAAAGTTAAAAACCATAAATGCAAAACAAAAGAAAAAAAAGAAAAGACTTTCTATTTTTACTTAATGGTTTTTTGGATCTTTTGTTCTTAAATTTTAAGGGCTTTTAGTAATTTGTAAAAGCCTTGAAAGTAGAATTGCAAAATCCCTTAAAAATAGGAAATTTTAACTGAAAATGCAAAAACAAGAGAAAAAAAAGAAAAGACTTTCTATTTTTACTTAATGGTATTTTGGATCTTTTGTTCTTAAATTTTAAGGGCTTTTAATAATTTGTAAAAGCCTTGAAAGTAGAATTGCAAAATCCCTTAAAAATAGGAAATTTTAACTGAAAATGCAAAAACTTTGCACAAGCAATTTATTTTTGGTTTTGGTATTTTCAGTTATTAAAGCGATTTTGAAAATTGTAAAGGCCGTTAAATTAAAAAAGCGAATAAATGATTTTCCTTGTTGTGCATTTTCGGTTTCACTTTTTTAGGGCTTTTACAAATTCTAAAAGCCCTTTCAAAAGAATCAAATTTCATTTCAAAACTGAAAATGAACAAAATAGAAATAGCATATGCAAAGTTATCTTTGTAAAATCCTAATTCCTAAACCTAAAATCCTAATTTTTTGGAAAGTAAAAAGAGACTTATTTTACAAATTCTAAAAGCCCTTCTTCAAAAGAATCAAATTTCATTTCAAATCTGAATTTGAGCAAATAAGGAAAAAAAAAGCATAGGGAAAGTTATCTTTGTAAAATCCTAATTCCTAAACATAAAACCCTAATGTTTTTTAAAGTAAAAAGATACTTCAAATTAATGACAAAAACATACTTTTGGGTTGATTCTTTTCAGGATTTTGGTCAGAATAGTTTATGAAATCTTGCCACAAGGCTTGAGCTTTCTTTGGTTGAGAGAGAGAGAGAATTGCAAAAGCCCTTTTCTCACAAACAATCTTTTATACCCCCCATAAACCTCTAACATTGAAAATTATTGTAACACCTGAAAGAAACCCATAATGTCTGAAACACCCCCCTAGAATGCTCATTTTGCATAAAATTAAGAAAACGTCAAAATTGGTCTTCGTGTCACCCTTATTGGGTCTAGCTGGTTCGATCCTGTACTGGTGGACCGAGTCGACTGGGTCCAACAATGGGCTGGCGAGTCCACTGGTTTAGGACCAATTAAATGGACCAGCCAGTCAAGGGGGTTGACTATATTGGACAAGCACTGGTTTACTGGTTCCAAATTTGAACTGGCTGTCAGGTCCATTTCTTGACATTATTGCTTTCCACATGTTAAACTCGTGTTGAAGCCAAGCCCTGTAATCCTTCATATTGTATGCTTTGTATTTTAGTCATTTTGATCTCTATTTAGAGGTATTTAAGTCTTAACCCTAAATACTGTAACATTCTATAGATATACCATTAGTGAAAAAGCAATGTATTGCGTTTTTATGAAATATACTGTATTGTAGCGTGAGCATGCATGTGCATGAAGAAAGGATTGGAGGGATCCAAATGCTGTTTGTGCCTTTGGTTTTGTTTTTTCAACCCTTAAAGAGGGCATTGTAGCATAAACCCTCGAGGCCATTATTGGTTATTGTGTTCTAGCTTAAAGCTACACCCCATTCTACACTTGTCGTGACCATTGGATGTTCAGACTAATGTACTTGGGCTTAGGACACCTGGCATTTGACTTGAGGCATTTTGCCTTCTTTCATGTTTGAACAATAGTTTTTTGGGATCGGGAGTAAATTGGGAGTGGGACAGGGATCGGAAGCGGGGGATCATGAAAGACTAGAAGTTCCCCACAGTTGTTAGTGTTGTCTGAACTATGCGTATATTAGGGATCAAGATTCCTGAATGTCTGTTATCTCGATCCCAACGTTTTGGGGATTCTGACTTAGACCTTTTGGAATCTTGATTCAAACCTTTTGGAGATCTTGCTCCTAACCTTAAAGAGTGGATATAATCTTGGATTATGCATGCTCTTCAAAGTAAGGATCTCTTTGTTTATAGCCAACAATCCATGGGACTACATTAAAAGTACATTTGCATTTCTATCTAGCTTGAAAATCATCATTTTGGTCATTATCTTTGTCTTTAAGGTGTGGATCGAGATCCTTAACAAAGGGGATCGTTAATGATTTCTTTCACGAAATTTAGAAAAAGAGATCTTTCGAAGATTCCTTTCCTGAAACACGAGAACAAGATTTTGGAGCAGGATCACCGTCTAGGTTGGGAGATTCTAGCAACTATTTTTTGAACTTGCTATTACCTTTGAAATTAGATCAAATATGTCCTCTATGGGTGAGACATTGATATCAAGCATAACCTACTTAGAGATTGCTCTTTTTCTAATTTCAAACTTTGAAAGATCTTATTGTTTCTTTCAATGTTGGATTGCATAGGCGGGTGGGACTTGGACCTAGTCCCCTCATGCTTGAGGGTATGTAAAAGTTGTTTTAAAATAGATTTATAATTGGTTTAGTCTTTGATTAAATCAATTAAGATGGACTTACTCTTAGTTCACTATGTACTTTTTATGGTTTTAGTGATTTTTAATGACTTTCTTATTTTTCTATTTTTCACTTTTTATGAGGATATGATATTTAGCTATTTTTTTATTTTTTTGAAAGCCGTGTTCTCATCATTTATGTACTTTCCAATTTTTTATCATTTTCTTTGTTTTCCTTTGTTAGTTATTTTTAGGATTGTTTCCCTTTTTTATGGTTCTCTTTGATATTTCGTGGGCTTGGTGGAGACTTAGGCA